TAGCTAAACCTTCAGCAACTGAGAGAAGGTGGGATGAGCTGGTTCAAGGCAACATAGAGCATCTTTAGCAAGTCATTGGATTCTCTAACATGGGGGACAACAGAAGGCACAGAACATATGGCAGGTTTCTCCAGACACTTTATAGGTGGAGGGCAACATGGCAAAGACAGCGTGTGGCCAATGAGTTTATTCTGCCCCAAACTTCTTCACAAGACCAAGTTCTGGACTGTGGGCAGGGACCACCTAAAATTCCCTCTAGACATTGACAGACTTCTCCTGGGCCACTGACAATGCCTAAGCCCAGTAAGCACCATAATGCCCATCTCACACACTCCATACATGAGTAGGGTGGGAAAGACACTTTGCTCTGCCCTCTTCTTCCCCCAGTGCACTGTACGAGGCAGGCCAGGATTTTTATCCTTCCACTGTAAACTATAATACCTGGTTTAAAATTATATTACAAGCCATTAATACAAACGGAGGGTTTGGGAGGATTTTATAACCCACAAGAGATGACACTCATAGGTTATGATGTCATTCAAACCACTTGATAATATACTGTACTAGCTTGCAATATTCCAAAAAGCAGCTATTAAACTAAATATAGATGAGGAGCATGTTGCTACAACAACACAAAATATTATGAACAGCAGTTCTCAGAAATATATGGCTACAAACCTGACTTTTATTTATCTGTTTAGACACTTTTTTTTACGTGGGGTAAAAACAACTGCTGTGGTCCTCTGAAGGTGCTTACACTGGGGATTGAATCTAAAATCACCACAGTGAAAAAAATAAAAGGCCCATCAAACACTGCGGTAATCCTAGAACATGTACATACATATATATGTTCTATACATGTTTGATGTATGCAAACTACAACACTCCTAGACAGAAATAAATCCATCCTGACTATTTAAGGTAATTCGGTTGCATTACCTTTCTTTCCATACCAAACTTAAGAGCAATAAAAAGGGAAAATGTAAATACTAGTTCTTACACTTTTGTAAGTCACTATTATCAAAACAGAGTGCTTTAATTATATTTCGAGACTAGGGTATAGGCTGGGTGACAAGATTTACTAGAGGTCAATGTCAGCAATAACCATTTTTCTTCCCAATGAAAAATAATACCATCAATGGGAGTTGTTAAGAACTATTAAACCTGCTGAATTTAAATGCTTCTGTAGGATACTTAATCAGAGATGGTTGGTCATTCTGGTTAGAGGTAAAGATGTAAAACAGTTACCAGTCTTTGATTTTATTATTTTATGTTATTCACAGTTAAAGCCCTGTATTATGAAGGGGTGGGTCTCAGCCAAACACATTCTTCTCCTAAAAGGCATAATGTTTTGGGGGAACAGCCTGAGAAAGCTATGCCTTCATGCTTTCCTAGAAAGACTTCATAATAATAGGGGAATAAAACTACTTCAAGCGGTGTGTCACTAGAAAGGAAGGAAGGATCCCTGCCAAACAGAAGATGACCCCAGTGGAGCCAGATCTCTGATTTGCTGGATCAGCAGATTGAGGGTCCCTTCAGGACTAAATATAAAGCCCACAGCAGAAGTCAGGAGGATAAACCCCATTTTCAGCAGCTTTCCAGTAGGCACAAAACCTCATGTGTCAAATCCAGCAAAGCTCTTCCTCAGCCATGAATCATACAGGTGTTTCAAGAGCAGCATTTGACCCAGTCATGAACAGAAGTACTGCCCAAATAAGACATGGAACAAAAAAAAGAACATGGAGTATTTAGCTGTTTCCTAAATCACTGGAGTCTGGTTTCTTGGATTTAGTGTGGAATACAATGAAATCCACCTTCTCATCTCAACGTGGCAGCCTGACACGAACTGGCCAAAACAACACACTGCTATGAATTTTTTTTACAGTTCAGCTGAATAGCCTCTCTTACGATTAAACTTTTGAACATGTTTTAATACAAATGTAATAGATTGTTTTCTCACGGGCTGCTGCTTAAAGCCTTGTTTATAATAAATATTTATAAGTATTTATAAATAAAATATTAATTACTTAAAATGACATTTTAATGTGGTGCTACATGTCCAAGAAATGCCGGGCTATGTTATGTGATCTCAGTGTGGGATTTGTGAACTCAGAGGCAGTAACGACAAGCAGTGAGAGTGCTACGAATAATCCCTGCATCAAGAACCTTCAATATGAGTAAAAGTAGTAAGTAAAGAGGCTACACCAAGGGACAATATTCCTTTATCTGAAAGAGGTAGAAATAAGTAATGACAATGACCTGGACAGAGAATTGTACTTAAGAGTCCATGGCTTTATAGTTCTATGGCTTGTAGGATTAAAAATTGGGGTTCTATTGATGATGAGAGAAGAAAGAAACCATTTAAACCAAGAGACTACCTAATACCCTTTATTAGGGTACCCAACCTCTTCTGGGGAAAACAGAACAGTTCAGGAATCAGAGTCTGAACACAAGGAGCCCAGCAGCCCACTACCGACTTCTTGTCAAGACTGTCCTATATTTTGTCATGCCACAAAGTCACAGGTATGTCCCAACCCCAAAGCAGCTGCACAGTTTGAGCAGGAACTAAGTGAAACACTTTGTGGATTCCTTGAGTGAAAAAGGAAACTCCAAACATTATTACTACTTCACTTAAATGCGTATATCATCAGCAGTGTTCTTCAAAAGCAGTCACCTTTTGGCTAAATCTGCTTTCCATGTCACAAGAGCAGACAGTTGATATTTCAAATGTAGTTATTAATTGAAGTCTATAAAATATACCTCTCTATCTAGGAAAAAGCTTCACGTGCAGGCAAGCACATCATATCTCAATACCACTAGTTTTCATCAACAAAGTATTCCGGGGGCCTTCACCTTACTATTTCACCTCTGGGCTGCTCAGAAGAATTAACCCTATGTACACTGTCTGCCAAAAAGAAACCAAAACCACATTTTCATTTCTTTTGTTCCATCTTAGTTATAACTGTTCAGCATAGGCTGTATATGGGTCTGAAAGAATTATGGCCACACAATACTCATGACAGCTGGAGGAAAGCACTGTGTTTGGATACAAATGACAAGTGTGGTAAGGTCCACAACACACCTTCAAAGGGTGCCAGTGTCAATTACCTCCAAGCCTCTTCAACAGCTTCTGACAGGTCAGTGGGAAAGTACCACATTTAATCTACTTAAATCTAGACTGGACAAAGCGTTAGAGAATATACTGTACAGGGAGAGAAAACCTGTGTCAGAAAGGGCAGGGATGAGATGATCTAATGCAAAGGAACTTTTTCATCTCTGAATTTTATGATTCTCTGATGTACATACAGAAACAGCGGGTCTGAGGAATGATGGTGAACACTTCCTTGGTCTTGTGATGAAGTTCACTGCATAGAAATAAGAGCAAAACAATTAAAAGAAAGAAATAATTTTACTGCTCCTCGTTGAGAGTTTGGGGTGTGTGTGGGGGCAGCTTCTGGAAAGGTTCTTCCTCTTGAATTAATAATGCCTTTACATGTGACATTCTTGGTAGAATAAAATAGGAGAGAACCACACAGAGATCCCAATATTTGGGGTCATTATTTGGGGTCAGACTTTCCAAGCAGGCAGCCAAAACACAATCCATCACCATGACCCATTTGCCTTTAATAAACACCTGAAACCGCAGACAGGCCTTCTCAACAGGCTATTGGAGCAAAAGGGCCAACCCAGAGGGGCAGCTTACAGGACGCTGGTGAAGGATGTGAGTCACCATGTTGAAGTCAGTGCAATGACTCACATCTTTCTAAGCTGGTCATAGATCTAAGTAGCTTGTTGAACCGGTAGCTACATACGGAGACATGAGATTTATCAAAGTAAATGCCAGAGTTCATGAGGTGATTTTGAGAATTTGACCTTTCAGTCTACTTCGCTTCACAATGTAAGTCAGCCATTGACTCCAGTGGGCCTTATACTTGACCTGAACATGGCTTGACAGGAGGTAAAGTTTTTGCTAGACACCTTATAAAGTCTACTGTGCTGCTGGGAAGTGTGGCAAATATACAAGCTAGCAATTAGCTTTCGGGGTAACTAGGCCAGTAGAATGCCACTTACTGAGTAGTAAGATTTTGCACCACATCTTGCTGCCTCACATTACTAGTGAAAAGAAACCACATCATTACATGTGGTCATATGCAAACCTCAAGGAAGGTCTCCGGAAGGAGGAAGCTGCTGTTTAAAGAAGTATCAATAAGCACATGCTGAATAATTTCACTCCTCTTATATATATCATGTCTGCTTTCTGTGGTCAAGAAATCTCATAGTATACAGAAAGGAGTTTGGTTAGTGGCTTGTGTTTGTTGAAGGGATGTGATTAGCATACAAATAGTTGATATTCAGACATTTATATTTAATCAAACTGGGAAAATAAACCTGAGCAAGACACACTTAGCTCCTTATTATCACCATCCTCTTCAGATGTCTCTTAACTCTAAGGTTCGCACACTCACAGCAGTTAGGACTCCCACTCCAGGGATGGATGTGAGGACACTTGGCTGCTCCCACCCTCCCACTTCTTCTCCATAAGCAGTACGATGACTGCATACGGACACCATTATACACAAGGTTGTTTCTCACAACACAATTGTCAGGATAGCATGCACAGAGGGAGACTGGGTAACAAATGTGTGATTGAAATACCCACTATCTCTCCTTGGTATCACCATGAACGTAAACAGGAAAAAAAAACCCAAACCAAAACATGATAGAATATATTGCTAAACTGAGACAAAACTTTAAAAGCTTGTTAAGGAACCCTTCCCAATTGTAAAGTGAATGCATACTGGGATTGCCAGAATCGTTGGTGAAAATACTTTTCTGATAAAACCAATAACTGGCACAAAACCAAACAAAAGGCAACTTTAATTTTGTGCCCCTCCTGGTTCACTCTTTTTCTTCTTTTTCGGTATGAAATTTGCTTTGAGATCATTCAACATGTGCAGAAAAAAAGTTCTATCAGCTCTAATCCTTATTTACCTGATTTTATTTATATAACCCTATTTTAATGTCATGATAAGTTTGTCAGGTTATAGACAATGTGTTTCAAGAACTGACCTGTTTAGAAATTTCACACAGTATTTTCCTTTGCTATCTCCACTTGATATATATTGGCTTTGTGATACTTCCCCTGAAACCCTGACTAGCGAGAGCAAACTCACTCTGACAGAAGGATTTTTGAAGCTGTTATTTTAATCTTAAAGTTTACATACCTGTTAGAGGATAGCACGTTCATAGCCTTTACTATTGTTCACAGATTCTTTTTTCCAGAGTCTACGCATAGGTCTCAAGGGTTCTTTCTCCTCAAGGCAAATTACCTCTGAGTGTGTAGGTTTACCTCCAGCTCTGTATTTTTTTTTACTTTTCATATGCTTCTTTCTTTGTGGTTTCCTTCCTCTCTTTTCCTTATTTTCAACTCTTGACCAGGACCCTTAAAGGAAAGAAGAAAGACACTTGGATACCATGGTGATGGGTGACCTTATGAAAACACAGATAAATAGACAGGGGTATTGTTATGTTTCCTTCGCACTGTTTGACTGTGCTACAGTTGGGTGAAAACATTTGTTCTACAAATAAAAGAAAACCTTTCAAACATTACTTTGGCCCCAGTCTTGTTCCAAGTGATGAAGCTGAGGATAGGACCTGTGTCCTCATGGGCCCTTCACCTAGTCAAGAACTGAAGACAAGCTACTTAATTAGGTGACATTATAGCTGATTGATTGATTGATTCTTCCATACAATAGATGATGTGGTGCAAAGATTAGATGCTTTGGCTTAGGCAAAGTATTTGGGTGTTTCGAAATTGTAACTCCACTCTTCACTCTCTCCGGACCTTCAACACGGTGATTTCTTATCATCATTACAATACATTTCAAAGCACTTTCAGAGCTTTAGGTGGAATTGTTTAGTGACAGCAAAGAGTCTTCAGAGAACAAAAAACCAGCAAGAATTTGTTTAAAAGAGGAAATAACTATGCTTAAGTTTTATACTATAATTAAACTACGTCTAAAAACCAAAATAATTTAGTAGTTTAAACTATGTTACACAAAGATGTTTAAGACCAGTTGTAGTGATATAAGTATTTTCTGAATTGAGGCCATAACATAGAACAGGGACCTTAAAGATTATTTAACAACCCATGGCTTATTTCTCCCAGTTCTGCCAAGAAGGTTTTACAGATCTTACATACACAAATAACTTTTTGCTCATGCAAATGAAGATGGTTTTTAGCAGGCATCTTCCTCTTCCTTCTTTTAAAGCTTCCATACAAATCAGCAAAATATCTACAAGTCAATATTTATTTTTTTTTTCTGGGGCCAAGAACAGGACACTACAACTCTCAGGGTTTGGAAAACAATTCATGTGTAATCACTCTCTCAGAGCCTGGGAGAGGAAGGCTTTGGAACAGCCAGAACATCAAGAGGCACAGTTTGTGACAGCCTAGAGAAGGCAAAAAAAGAAGGGAAGGGTGGAAGGCAAGAAAAGAACAAGACAGAGAAGCAGCAGAAGCTAAAGGAAAAAGCCCAGCCTGTTTTCTCTGAGAAAAATTCAGGCAGTCCAATGCAGAGAGAATGCAGCAGGGCTATTCTGCAATGTCTGGAGGGAAGGAGATGAGCCAAGTAACAGCCTTGTGAAACACAACTAGAAATTCAGCCAGAGACAGAATTGATTTTTTTCCTCCTCCCTTTATCCCCCCGCCACAGAAGATATATGTGTTTAGATCAACTCATGCCCTTATTGAGTCTTGAGCAGAGAATGGTCTGACTCAAGCACTTTTCATGTAGTCTGCAGGATTCCTGCACACACCCTGGGCAGATTACTGGGATAAATTAAGACCCAGCCTCTGCCCTTAACCTATAAGAAAATTCACCCCCATTGTATTAAGTGGTTTAAAAAACAAAACAAGCAAAAGATCCAACAGACTTGCAACAAATCTTTCTAACTGTTAGGTTAACGCTGCATGAGATGTTTGTATGACAGCTCATGACGGGAGGTGACAGACTTTCAGACCTTGGCTGAGAAGTTAGACCAGCTGGAGGTAGATGATTCCTGTCAATAGGTGAGCTTCATGCAGCCAGAAGAGTGATGACCTGATGCAATGGAAGGATCTTAATTTTCTTCTATTACACCTCTTAGTGTACATGTCCAGGGATTTTTATTTTTTTTTTAATCCATAAAGCAGCAGAAATAGACAGCAATGTTTAAAAGCGTGAATTACAAATGCCTTCAGTTTACTGGAGGAGATGGAAAAACTGATTATGTGGAATCTGGACAGTGTAAAAGACAACTGCCCAAAATACAGTGTTCTTCCTGACCTAGCCCTGTCCTCATCTTTCATCTCATACACGCTACACCAACCCCTGCCTCTGCTCCACGTACAGTGCCAGTCTTCACCGCCTATTTGTCAAACCTTCCACAAGCACCTTCTGTGACATGCCAGCCCCTAAGCACTGGATGAGCTCCCTGTAAAAGTCCACAAGGTCAGTGGCTGCATTATCCTGCTTTACATCCCTCCTCAAAATCAACCTGTGATGAGATCTTTGGGCAGTGCAGGAGATTGGCAAGGCAGCTGGTGTGCTAAGGAGGCTGCTGAGGATATCAGCTGAGCTCTGCTGGCAGCCCTCAGGGGTCCCCAACTTGCTCAGTGCTCACTAACACTCAGCTTCTGGGCTTGAGCCCATACATCTGCACTGCTTTGTGGACAGCCCAGGTTGGGTGCATGCAAGCTTTGAGGACATTCCTCAACTACACGCTTCATTTTGCCACAACAGGGCAATGCCCAATTTAGGCACAGGAGCAAAAGGAAAAAGAGAATCAGAGCTGTTACACCACCCCACTGGCACCCTTGCTATCATGCCATGAGGGACCTTGCCTCTGCAGTTGGTTTTTCCTCTTCTTTTGGTCTGTCACAACCCTGCCTCTCTTGTAACACCTTCTCAGTTTAACAAATGCAATTTCAATGTGATAAGCAGAGTGCAGAAGGAGAAGCCTATGCATAATGTTCATTATATTCAAAAATCAGCTTGCCCCCACAAATCCAGCATATAGCAAATGACTCATCTGGAAGACTTGGGTTCAACCTATGACATATAAAGACTAAAGTGTATTAAAGTTAATGAACTTCAGAATGATGATTAATACTAAAGAGAACATAACACTTTATGGCAGCTGAGACAATGTTCACTCCTTTTCATTACTTTTCTGAGGACAACCTGCATTAACAAAAAAAAGATGTCTGACATGAAAAGCTGTTGACAAGCATACAAAATGGAGCACAAATACTACCTACTATCCATAGCTACACCCAGGAGACCTTTGCAAAGTGTTTGAATATCACCTGCTTTATTTACTGTAATAAGTGAAATGTGTTCTCTTTAGCCAAGAATGCAACTGAACTTGTGGGAAGACACCCTTTGTGTACCTGCTGCCAAAGCCAGAATGCCAGCTTCTTCCATACATTAAGCAGGTATCACTGATGCTGCTGAACTGTCCAGAAATACTGTTAATCCTGCAAAAAAAAAAAAAAGTGAGGGTTTAATATTCTCTCTATAGATGCAACATGTTCCAAGAGCTAATTAATTGCTGCTGCTACTTACTGAAGGAAAGAGCCAAGAGCCATGTGTTTGTGCTATTCATGTTTCTGATAGAAACATCTGATTTTGTTGCTGTTGATGAGAACATGCTTAGGAAAGGGCACCAGAGCACTTTTCAGCATGGCTGACAATATGGCTCCCCATTTGTTTGCTCTTTTACCTGCTACCTGCTGAAACACAGCATACGTTCTACATGGAGCCCTGCCTGCTGTACAGTAAACACCTTTTCCACATTTTGGCTGTGTCTTCCCAGACCCTTTGTGTGTAAGAGGAGCATTAAACAAAATATGTTTTCTGTGGGGAGTATTTCTGTAAATACTGGATTGAAGACTGCTCAGAAACCCCAAAACCCCACCCCACACACATTTTACATGTGCAAGAAATAAGCATGACAGAATGCATGCCGCCAGGCTTTCCTGTCACACGCATCATGGTCGCAGCCCCAGACACCAGTTCTGATCTGCTGCCACACGCTTCTGACATTACAACCATCTCCTTTTTCCTGGTTAGTGTTCAAGAACTACAGCACTAATTCCTCCTGGTTGCAGTGCCAAATGACTGTACTGGAATGAGTCCATGGAATGAAGTGAATCCCATCTATTTTTTTTTTTTTTAGGCATCAAAATCATAACACTGATCTTTCAAAATATCAGCCTGGGTTTCCAGAAGATGAATAGCTATCTTCAGGCAGTGTTGGACCAGCAGAGTCTCTCTGACCTTTGGACTTGGTTCCTCCACAACAGGGACAACCAAGGGCAAACACTAAGAGCAACAGCCAATGATTCAGGATGTCCTCTAGCAGTGATCTTACACTCTGTAAACAAATGACATTATTAACATGCCCAGTAGAGGCTTGGTTTTGGCTCCTTCTCTTTCTTATTTGAATTAATTTCCAAATAAGACCACTTATGACCTTTATGTGAAGCAGCATTATGCAAGCCAATACTTGTGCAGGCCAGTGTCTGTATTCCAGGGCAGAAGACACCAGAAGCTAAAAGGAAGAAAGTAGGTTTCTGCTCCAAACCAAAGTGAAACCAGGAAAGGCCTTTAGACAAATGAATCAGAATTTAAGTCAACTGCACTAAGGGAAGGGGGGAGTTTCCATCGCAGAGGAAGAGATCTGGCTTACCCAGAGCAGGCTTTTGCCACTGCTTTTTTGGCAACATGAAGATGCAAATGAAACAACAGTTGTAACTGGCTGAAAAGACTCTGAAGAGCCTAATCCAAACACCAAGTGACTGTCACAAGAGTGGCTGTCAGCTTAGTCAAAGCTTAAATCTTTTTTTGGCTTGTGTGCACTGCTGTGATTTCCATTTCCTCTGTACAACAGTGAACCACAATGCAGGGAGACAGGAAAAAGGCATTCTGTACAGGACATCGAAAACCCCAGCTACCCCAAACTGTTG